TTCAGCAGGGATTCTACTTGGGTGTTTACACAGGACTCAACCAGGAATATGGTTGTTTGTCAGGTCAAGTTTCATTTCTGGCACAAGGAGACCTAAATCATGCTGGTTTGGATACTTTTTACAGTCAAGAACTATAGCAAGACAGGTGCTAATTCCCAGCATTGATATTTGTGCAGCTATCTAGATCTCTGTGATTAAGTACCTGCAAGTATCAAGACTTCTCAGAAATAACTAGATAAGATTTGTTGCATATTTGTCTAATCTCTCCAACATCTTGCCTGTTTCTCTTACCCAGAGCAAAGCAGAAGAAGCCAAAGCCAGCTCTGTAACCTAATCATTCTGTGTAATTTAAAACTTTCTGTACCATTTAAGCTCTGTCTTTCTAAGAGACACGTAAAAGGCATATCTCTTATCAAGTTACTAATTCGAACAGTGCACTGTTTGTTAGAGCCCCAAGGTACCTTTCTGTCTGTTGTAAAAAATTATTTGGCTCGCACTGCACAGCAGCTGGAGTACAGCAGTGGATCTGGCTCTTCATTGGAAGGTGGCGTGGGTGGGTGGGTGGGTTGATGTCATGATGCCCTTCGCAGCAAAGGCTTGGCCAGTTTACGGGAAGAGAACAAAGAAACTTATAAAACAGGAGAACAAGGCAAGAGAACAATACAATGTATACAAGCAAGTAGCGTATCAAAATAAAACAGAAGCCCCTGCACAAGTTCTGTTCTAGCCTTGCTTACTAAAAACCTGACCAAATAGGAAGGTCTTACAGCAGTTTTGGAAGATGCCCAGGCTCGGGCTCTGGTGGGCTTTAAAGGGGAGGGAATTGCAGAGTTGGGAGCGACTGCCAAGAGTGACCTTCCACACGTTTGTGCCAAGTGAACTTTATGTTAAAGGTATTTGCAGGAGGTTGTTCTCAGTTGACCTTAAGGATGGGGCATAAGGGAGAAGGCAGTCCCTTACATATGTAGGGTCAGACTGTTTCAAGCCTTATAGGTCAAATCCAGCACTTTGTACACAAGGATAAGATATTGGAAGTTAGTGTAAACCCTGGAGGACGAGTTGTGGGCTCTTGGTGACCCACTTCTATCTGAATGCAAGCTACCACACTCTGCACCAGCTGCAGCTTTTGGACGGTCAGCCACATGTAAAGTGCATTGCACTAGTTTAGCCTTGAGGTTATGAAGGCATGGATAGTGGTAGCCAAACTGCAATCTTGAAGACAGGGTTGCAGCCTTCCTACCACATGGAGTTGGTGAAAGGTGCTCCTAGTCATGGGCACCATCTGAATATCCAGGTGCAGTACAGGATCCAGAAGCACCTCAAGGCTGTGAACCTGAGTGACAACAGGAGACTGAATCCCATCCATTGTAGGTGTCCCAGTACTGCCCAGATCAAGCAGTATGCCCACCATTGTTGCCTCTCTTTATCTGGATTCAGCTTCAGCTGGCTCACCCACATCCAATCCCCAACTGCAACCAGGCACTGGGAAAGCACTGAGACTGGAAGGCCCGAATCAGATGAGAGACAGAGTGGAGTGTCATTAGCAAGTAGAGGGCACTGCACTCCAGTTCTCTACATGGTCTTTCCCAGTGGCCTCATACGCATTGAACAGCAGGTGTGACAAGATGGAGCCTTGGGGTAACTCACAGGAGAAATCCCAAGGGAACGATGAGTGCTTGCAGCCCATCATCATGACCTCCCTGCTAGGAAGGAGTGGAACCAGTTTAGATTAATGCTGTGAATACCCTCCAGGTCATGCAAATGTTTTAACCAAGATACAGTACCTCAAACCACCAAAATCATAATGGATAGAACTGATGTTTACAGTACTTGCAAAAAGGTCTGTAAAAATAGAGGATGTTTTCAGAGGGGCCCCACAGAGTTCACTGCCTGAAAACTCTGCTGTAAATGCGTAAATCCAAATATGCACACACACATTGCATATCCAAACAGTTTAGTCAAAAAAGAACATTAAACCGAGGCTTGCACCTTGGGAAGCATCTGTCAACTACATCTGCTCTTTAGTGTCTGAACCTTTGGTTTTAAAGTTTAAATGGGCTTTTGAGCAAGTGAAGATAATACATTTTTTTTATGTGTGTAAAGTGGGAATTGGCCTGAGTAGGAAGGGATATGATTATTTTGCAGGGTGTTCAATTTTACAGCTTTGGAGCTGAAGGCTACAGGTAGAACTGACACAGAGCATTATGCCAACCCCTAAAAGTTTGAAGTCATGAGGGGAGGGATGGGGTATTTCATTAGACAATATTATGACAAGGTTTAATATGCACGTCGGCGCATCTTTTAAGAATGCTGATGTGCAGAATTCACTCGGAAGTCCAGTGAGCAACCTTCATTTAGAAGGATTCTGTTTGTGGTCAGCTGGAAATTAAATAATTTGGTTTTTTTTAACTCTCTTTTAGATGGCCACACTTGGGGAAGCCCGTCTGAAGGAGATGGAAGCACTTCGTTGTCTGAGAGCAGCAAATGAAGGGAAAGTGCTAGCTACTGAAGAGGATGGAGAGATGAAAGTTTGCCTGTGCCAGAAAGAGCCAGTTGCCCCCATGATACAATGTGAACTCTGTAGAGGGTTCTTTCACACCAGCTGTGTTTCAGCACCCAGCATTTTGCAGGGACCTCACGTGTGGCTCTGTCCTCACTGCCATAGATCAGAAAAGCCACCGTTAGAAAAAATCCTACCTTTGCTGGCCTCCCTGCAGCGTATCAGAGTGAGGCTTCCTGAAGGAGATGCTTTACGGTATATGATAGAGAGAACTGTGAACTGGCAGCATAGAGCACAACAAATGCTATATTCAGGGAATCTAAAACACATACAAGACAAAGTTGGCTCAGGACTATTGTACAGCAGATGGCAAACCACAGCAGGCCAGCTACCAGAGACAAACAAGGTAAGACTGAGCTACTTGCAGCTTCCCTGCTTGGAGGTGGAGTATGCACTTAAAGAGCAGTTTGCAAACCTTTTTGCATTTTGTGGGTTTTATGTGAGACATCTTGACCGTAAATTCATCCAGCGTCTGCACGCACATTCTAGTGGGGCAGGCTCGCTCTTAAGTCTTAGTTTTTCCACAGCTATGAGGAAATAGCATTTTAGCTTGTCATGTATTTTACTATGCATGTATTCTTTATATTCTCCAGCAGCAGTGTAGAATGCTGCATTCCTTTCCTGCTATGACTCTGAGAATACTCCAGCTTTCTTCTTGTTATATCTGGTGGGCTTCCCTTCTCTTCTGCTGTATTCTGCCTCCTGTTGGCACTGCTGTGTAGAACTGGAGGGGACTGGAAGATTGTCTCACTTAGTATCTGTTTCTAGGGAGGCCCACGATTCTGTTCTTGAGTCGGTCCTAAGTAAAGAATTTAAAGATTTCTTTAAGTAAAACCTTCCCTGCAAGCAACTGGTAACAAAGTAGAAAAATCTTCCTTCCTGTTCAGTCTGTTTAACCTTTACTCCTGGGAAGTATTGTTCTCACTGTGGTGTGTTAACTGCCTATTGTCTTCATCCTTTATAACTAAACCTCCAAAAGTTCTCTGATGTTTAAAACCACTGTATGAATCGACCTATATTGCGTGCTTTGGGTGGAATATATTGCCTTGTTAATAGAGTTTATAACCCTGTTTCCTGAGCTTGGAGAATGATGACCACTTTTACAAAGCAGAGTAAAAGCATTTAGCCAAGATGCACTTTTGTAGATGTAAGATTTGTTTTTTCAGCGGCCTTGAACGCACATTCATTTGTGTCATTCCAATATAGCGTATCCAGAGAGATTTAAGTACATTAATGGTAATGTATTTTTAGAGTTGAAGTCAAGAGAAGAACATTGCGATCCTTTTAGCTTGAATCAGACCCATCTTACAAAGCCCAGCGCAGAGGGGAATGTCAGAAATTATGCTCTGACGCTACAGTTATCATAGAAAATGCTTCTCTGTTTAAATTTCCTGTTAAAAGTGATCTGCAAAGAAGGCAAACTGTGCTTACACTTTTCTGGTTTGCTTTTTTGCTTTGCCTAGAGGGAGGGCCTGTTCTCACTCTCCCTCCCTCCCATAGTTAGGCTTTATAACTCAGTAAACATGTTTAGAGGTCTCAAAGTATTTGCCTGGAGTCTAAAGAAGGTAGAAGTTTTAACGGAGTTTGAAAAATTTATCTGAAAAATAATCCTAAAGAAATTAAGATCAGGGTGCATATACATTTCATAGCGTATGTACGCTATATATACTGATCTAGCTCAGGGCTGTCAGACTTGTGGCCTGCAGGCCCCTACAGCTGCCTCTTACCTCCCACTACCACATGGTGAGGAGTGGGGGAGGGGTGGGGGAAGGCCACATACCACTGTGTATGGTTTGGGAGTCCACGTAGTGTGTGGTCCAAGGACTGCATGCAGACACTGCGTGCAGACCTCAGCCACATCAAAGGTGGGCAGCCCTGATATAGCTATATGCACTTCAAGCTCTCTTAGATATCAGTCCACTGCCTCACCAGGTAAAGCATCTGTTTAAAATAGAGGAAATTAACATTAAAAGCTATCATAATGCAACTTTTCTAGTTAAAAATATTACATAGAAGTCAGTCACTTACTGCCATTGACCATCACTTGGCTCCAGTGTATGCATCTGCTATGCTGTATTATTGATCATTATAAAATGGGGGAAGTTGCTAGGTCATTGTAGTGGTGCTGTTGTTTGGTCTCTGTGGATACTGTAATTTACAGCTTTTCACTTCATCACAACGTTGCCTTCACTAGTTTTCCAGGTTTAAGCTGAAAAATTAAAATTAATTTGCTAGAATGAATGAGTTGCCATACAAAAAGCTTTTAAAATACTTGTTGAAATAGAAACACACATTTGTTCTGTTGCATTGTGATTTATAGTTTAAATATTTGGTAGGACTGAGTGTGTGTTTATGTTTTTCTTCCATTAGGTATCTCAGACAATTGGTGCTATGTCTTTCTCTCTGCCTCATGACTGGGATAGCAGAACCATATATTTACATTCTCCTTTTTCTACAGGACAAAACTGCATCCCCCTTCATGGTTTGTATGCTTTACTTTAAATTTACTATAATGCCTAGAAAAAAAAATGCTGTGTAAAACTTGGGGCTATGCCTTGTTCTCCAGCCCTTGATTTTTGAGTCCTGTAGATTTTAGGTTCCCTGCCATTCAGCTTCTTAGCAGATTGTCTAGTATTTCATAGACTTCAGAGACATTAGGGCTGGAAGGGACCTCGGAAGATCATCGAGTCCAGCCCCCTGCCTCATGGGCAGGAAGTCAGCAGGGATCATAGGATCCCAGCAAGATAAACATCCAGATGCCTCTTGAAGGCATTCAGAGTAGGTGGTTGAGCTACCTCCAGCGGCAATCTATTCCAAACCTTGGAGGCTCGGACAGGAAAGAAGTATGGATTAGACCAATATAGGATAGGAATAAGTGAAATCTTTCCAAAGTCATCCTTGCTTTTTTTCCCCTGTCTTTACTGCAGACATCTACTTCTGTGTGAGATACCAAGATCCAATTTTGTTTTTAGGTTTTATTTCTTGATATAGTCGAGTTCCATTTCAATATACTGTCCAATTATAGGCTTGTTTATTTACTTCAACGTAGAACAATCTTTTGATAATTTTGTAGTATAAAATTATATAAAGAAGCTCTCTGCTGCTGAGTCTATCACAAATCCAGTACATTTTTTTAAGCTCAATGCAAAAGACTATTAACCCTTAACAGTATCTGAATAATGAGAATAATTTGGCTCTCAACCTTTCATTTACACTAGAAATTTACTAATATAAAATGACTGATATTTATTTTTTGTCTTCCGTCTCTCATCCCTATCTTAGTCCTTCATTGTAGACTTATCCAGGGTTTACAGATAGTATCTTTTTTAAAATGATAACCTGGAAGAATTTGACTGGGGAATTTAAAGATGATCCTACTGTACTACATTGCTGCCCATTAATTATACTATAGGCTTTCACCTTTCCTTTAGATATATTTTCATAACCAGAATAGTGAAGTCTCTGAGCTGACCTAAAGTTCAGCATAAAAAAATCCTCCCCCAATAATTCTTTGTATTGACTTATTTACTACAGTGAAATAATTTTCTAACGCACTAATTGTCACAAATGCTAATATCGGAGAATTAAAATCTTTGTTTTATCATTGTAGTCATTAGTGCAGAGCTGGATGAGTTGATGATGGAAGCCCAGCTGCTACAGGTTTCGTTACCTGAAATACAGGAGCTGTACCAGATCCTATTCACAAAACAGAGCCCTGTTCTGCAAGCAGAGCAGAAGTCACCAGTAGGACCATTGAATGAAAAGGCAGGTATTTGACAACAGAGATGGGACTGGGATGCCTTCAAAGCAGAGAGATTCTGACTGGAATCATAAGCTTTACGATAATGATAGGTATGAAGCTTCTATGGGCCCTGGCAGATGTGACATTTATTGCATGATAAATTGTAACATATCACATGTTCAGTCAATCTATTACACCAGTAAAATGGCAAACCAGCCATGAGGATGTTCAACATAAAATGTGGAGTGCCTTTGTGGCTGTTTTGTATTGTGCCTTAACTGCAACGCATGGCAAGTTTGGCACCAGGCTTCACAGTGGCTTTTGGTGCTGGCACACAGAGAACTGACCAGCTAGTTGGCTTCTCATGCACCAGCAAGTTGAAAGCTGGTGTGGCAGGATGCATAATTTTTGGGATTTGGGATAGAATTAATCAGATGCCAGTCACATAACTAAATTAATGTCTACCAGGGGCCTATGAAAATCATTTTGTTTTCTGAAAAGTTTGGCAAGTTGTTGAACTTGTACAGCTTGCTGCAGAATTCTCTGTGGATACATTTTTGTGATTTATTTCTACATCCTGAAACTGCATTTCATGGTCATTCATATGACTTAAATATGGCCATTGTGTTTTGAATGGGAAGCAGTTACTAGCAAGTCTAGTAGAAGCTTTTCCTAGAAAACTGGACGTATGCTGCTTTGGAGGATGGAGGGAAAGAATCTCTCACTTTCATGAACTTTGTCATTTAACATTTGCACTGAATCAATGTGAAACTTGTAAGAATAGCCCACTGTGAAAAGAATAGCTCACAGAGAGGGCCTGTCTTTTCAGTGTTGAAAGGAATGGACAATATACTGAAAAGGAGCAGGGAACCTGCAAAATAAATTAGTGTTTGAATTCAGTACTTACAGTTTTGCTTCAATATCTTTTCTAATAGAATGAGTACTGCCGGGGCAGGAGAGATGGAGTTGGTTATATGGAGAGAAAGTTAAAGAGGCGCTTTGAAAGAGAGGGCTTCTGCGATGGAAAGAGGGCAAGGATAAAAAAAATGAAAACCCCCAAAAAGAAGAAACTGAAACTGAATTACTCGAAGGATCTCAGTAACAACAAATTGGAGAGGGAGAGAGAGAGGGAACGGCTCATTGAGGTGCAGCGCTCCAGCGAAAGCCACTTGCTTCCCTCAGATACATCGTTCTCAGAGCAGGAAGACTCTGAGGATGAAGATGCAATCTGCCCTGCTATGAACTGTCTGCAGCCTGAAGGAGATGAGGTCAGTGAAGGGAAAGCTTGCTGTGGGCACTAAATGCAAGGAGCCAGGGATGTTGCAACTGTACACTAATTGGTTTATTAGAAAAACATTTTCTACAAAGAGAGACCCTGGACAAGGATTCACCTGGAGTGGTTTCAAAAGGGGGAGCTGCTGCTTGGGGACGTGCACCAGCTTTTATGCTCTAACTCAGGGGCAGGCAATTATTTTGGGTGGAGGGCCGCTTACCGAGTTTTGGCAAGCTGTCAAGGGCTGCATGGGTAGCCCCACTCCTTGACAGGTGCCCTGCCCCTTGGTCGCCATCTTGTGAGCAGAAGTCCCACCCCCTAACCACTGACCTTTGCTGCCACAAGTCCCTCCCCTTGCCCCCAGAAGTACTCCCTTTAGCAAGGAGTTTTGCCATCTGAGAACCAGAAAAATACCAAATTATATTTTAAAAAGTGATCATCTACAACATTCATTAATGTTCACATCTCTCAACTTTCAAGATACCTATAGTTCCTCCTCACACTCAGACTTTCCCATAGGAAATACCTCAAACCTATATTTGGTTAGGGCTATTATCAGTATGGTCACTGGCGATACGTAGGGGGTGCATGCGGGTGCATGTGCACCCCCTGAGATCAGCTGTGCACCCCTGGAAGCACCAGCTGTGAAACCAGAAGTGCACTTCCAGTTTTGCTGCAGGCTCAGTGATTGGCTGCTGGGGGGACCTTCCCTGCCCCGGTCAGTGATCTGGTGCCCCCCCAGACTCGGGAAGCACCAGTCGTCTATGAGTATGGTGTCCTCCTAACTGGCCTCTCAGTGGCTAAAAGGGTCTTCAAGATTTTTTTTTTTTTTTGTGGGTGGTTGCATGCTACAGAGATCAAGTGGTCTTCATTGATCCTGAAGTGTGAGTATAGGGAGACTTCACAGATCTTGCCAGAGCAGCTGGAGACCTGTCTGTACCCTTGCATGGACACAATAAAGTTAAACAGAAGGTTGCAGGTCTCATACAGGCCCTTCTCCATGCAAGAGGGGACAAAAACAGGTATGCTCTGCATGGGGATGCAAGTGCCATCTGTGAACTTTCCATAGGCTTGGGAAGCAACTTGAGGCAGCAGGTAAGAACCCCCTACTCCCCAGATACCTGTACAGAAGGCTCAGCTGAGCACCAGGGACTAGAGACAATGGGAACTAAAACAACGATATGGTGAAGGCAGCCATCTGACTAGATTTGTCCTAACCCTTCTTCAAGGAGACAGGGTCAAGTTAGAAAAGGTGCTCTCCCCAGAAGGATGCAGAGGTAGCAAGGAGAGGAATTTTATTTATAGGGATGAGAGCAGGCAACAAACAGGTGACAAGTTTGTTTTTAGGGATGTCTATGTACAGCAAGTTTGAATTGTGTGTTCATCTGACCTTGATGCATGTGTTAGCTCCCCGCTGTATGTGTAAATTGTACCAGAAGCTGGGAATTCAAAAACGCAAAAGAACAACCCCCTTCCACATGATGTCCAACTCTGTTCAAGGGGAGGAATCCAAACACTGCTGGTCACTGCTGTTTTAGTTACACCAATGAAATGGACTCCACTGTCCATAGCTGTGCCCCTTACAATTGCCAAACCAGTCCTAGATATATGACCGTGGCTGCTGGTTCTGGCTGCTAAGAACTTGGAAATAACTAATCATGAAAACTGTTTGCTTTATCTGCTGCCCCTATCTGAACACTCCTCTGTCTGTTCTTCATAATTAGGTGGATTGGGTCCAGTGTGATGGCAGCTGCAACCAGTGGTTCCATCAGGTGTGTGTGGGTGTCTCTCCAGAGATGGCAGAGAAGGAAGACTACATCTGTGTCAGCTGTGCTGGGAAGGACTCTCAACATCGAAAGTAAAACTCCCCATAAATCATTCAAGACTCTATTTTAAAGAAGGTTATGAGAATTTCTCCATAAAGCCACAGGGGCTGGTTTAATAGCCAGGCTGCAAATGGTGCTACTTCTATCCTCATGGGATCATTTTCCAGAACTCAATTTTTGACACTTTTTGTATTTTTCTCCTTTGAGCTGTTTGTGATTGTTGAGGTTTGAAATGCTGACTGTTTAGCAGGGGTTTCCGCCAATTTGGAAGGCATTTGAAACATGCACCTTTTTATTGTACAGCATTAAATTACCTCTCTCTGGGATTTACCGGCATATTTAAATCAACTCTGTTTGGGTGCAAAAAACTGCACTATGAGTTTTCCAATAAATCCTCTTTTGAGGAAATCCCTGTTTACCCTGTTAACTTGTTGGAAACTTTAGGTTTTTTCACTTTGATTTTTTTTTTTGTAGACTAGGTTTATTTATCTGAGCAATAACTTCTATGTCTGGCTTCAGTGACTGGAATGACAATTCTGAACAGCGTGTTGGTGCTTTTAGCATTGGTTAATGTACAGAACGCAAACGGTTAGGTCCTAGTATCACTGATGGATTAGTGATTTAGAAGACAGAAATGGCTCTGTAAAGTAATTGCCACAGCTGTATTTTGGCTTTCTTCTCTTTTGGGTAGCTTGTATCAAATGTTGCAGTTTATATTGTGGAATAAACCCCTGGTTATATTATAAAATTAAATGTTGGTGTTTTCAGAGAGCTTAAAATGCAGCTTCACTTTCAGTTTGGATTGGTCTTTGCATTGGTTGGGTTTCACTTGCTCAGAAAAAAAAAATCCATCTGAAAAAAAGAAATAAATAAAAAGCCACGCCATTTTCTTACCTTCTCTACATCTCCAGTCTAGGAAGAAGGAAGTGAAATCAAAATATTGTTTGCATCAAATACATCTAAAAAAATATTCTTTTTTCAAAGCAGAAAGAGTCTCATAACAGATGGGCTCAGGAATAAGCTGTTCTGGGGGTTCTTTAGCAACAGTCTGGGGGAATTGCTGCTGTTGCTGCTCTGTGAATGCAAGCAAGGCATGACTGATTAGGTGGGGAAGCAGGAAAAAAAAGTGATACAGCTCCAATCTCATCCATCTGGCTTTGAAGAGAATGGCTTTGCCTAAAGCACAGATTGATTGCCAGCTGGGCAACAGAGCACTGGCTGTCTGTATCTCTTTGTCTCCAGCTGCTTCCACCGATCTTCAGGCTTTAATGGCAAATAAATAGCCTGGATGTCAATGTAAGTAGTTGGGGAAACAAAACAGAACTAATCCAGCTGCCTTTGTTAGGGACCACTGTTATAATGGACTGCATATAGGGGCCGCAAACATCAATGTTACAAAGGTGCCAGCCATCAGCAGGATAAAAATACTTTGAGGAGAAGGGAACAAGATAGCCAAGCATCCATGGGAGCAATGTAGAAGAGACTGAAGCAGCTTATCAGTGTATCCAAGGAAAAAGGGACTCAAGCAGCAAGTAAAAACTAAGCAGGGAAGAGCATGTGGGAGAGAAGGGCAAAACAGCAGCAGATCACATGCTGGAGGGAGAATTGAGAGAATCCAGATAGAAAATGTAATTAACTTTTAAGAGTATTGCACCATGCCTGGGACTGTACCTTTAGAAATAATAGAAAAATAGGACTGAAAATGTCTCGGGTCATAATTTAGCTCCCTGCTCAAGGGAAGATCGTTTCCTTGTATACCATCCCAGACCAATATATTAAAAAATTTAAGTGCAGATGTCACCACCTCTAGCTAATCTGGTCCTGTACTTCACCATCTTCATAATTGGAATGCTCTTACTAATGTTCAACTTAAACATCCCATATTGGAATTTGAACCCATTACACATGTCTGGTCTCCTGTGGACACAGGGAACAATTGATAGCCATCCCCTTTGTAACAACCCTTTTTGTATTTGGAGACTCCCCTTAGTCTTCTCTTCTCCAGATGTCTTAATCACAGGTCTTCCAATCTGTCATCATATGTTTCAAGTCCTCTGATCGTTTTTGTTGCTCTCATTTAGTCTCCAGTTTGTCCATGAGACAAATCCCTTGCATTCCTTTGAGAAGAGAGGCTAGCGCAGGGTATGGCAAATTGGAAAATGGAAAGCGCTACAGTGCTCTGTGGCTTCAGTGGATTGTTATTTGGCAGGTGTTAACTTAAAGCATTACCACTAACTTCTGAAGTCCTAGAAGGACCTGGGACCTTCCTAACCTTCCTCCATAGGTTATACTGACACCACTGTGATGGGTGGAAGTGCTGGTATTCCCATTATGCTTGAGCAAGAGCATCCGCTCGCAAGATGTTCTTCATTGGTGTCCTCAGCTCTGGATTCCTTCCTTGGTCTGAATTACTCAATTGTGCTGACTTCCTGGGCACACAGCAAAGCCTTTCTTTTTGAGCAGGGAAGGATTGCCAGTGTTTAGGGATGAACTATGTGGAACATGGAGGCTGATAGGGTTTAGATTTGTAATGTTTCCTGGCTGGTGTTTTAGTATGTTTAGTCTTGTATTGGATTTTTAACTACTGTTGAAAGCACTTAGAGCCCAGGATATATAATTATCTAAATGCAAATAAAAAGACAACATGACACCACAACATCAGTGGTAAAAACAGCTAAAAGTATATAAATACATTCTGCCAAGATGTTGTGTGGTCTTAAATGGAAGAGAAGTTATCTACTGGATGCTCAGTGATGATGTAGCCTGGGGCTGTCCAATTCACAGACTGTGTGCAACCCACGAGGGGTGAAATTGTGGCTTGGGTACTGTTCTCCCTCACTCCAGTTGCTGCAACTGCCAGAATCTCTGGGCTCCCCACTCCCTCCTCCAACTTCTGTTTCCTGCCTCTGCCCCTGGGGTGGGACAAGGCAGCTTGCAGGACCAGGGAGCCTGCAGCTTGGCATCCACGCGGCACAGTTTGTTGGGGAGGAGAATACTGGTGGCGTGGTTTGGCAGGGACCGTTGTGGCCCGCAGCCATGATGGAGCTGGACAGCTCTGAATGTAGTCCATGTTGTGAGAAAAGTTTGGAAGTCCCTGTCCCTGCAGCAAAGCTGTCTGATACAGATCACTCCATGCATTTTAGAAATAGCTTTCTTTAAGGGAAATGGGGACAAAATGTTGAAACACGCACTTGGCCAGGGTTTTGATATCCCTTTGGATATTACTGAAAATATTAGACCTTTTCTCCCAGGCGCTCCTTATACTTGCTGGGTTAAGAAAACTGTTTATGAAGAAAAGTATCAAACTACAATGCCATGACTTCAGTACTTCGTGACCTCAACACTTAACTCCAATTTAAAGAAGCCGTGGTTTTGTGGATATTAAATCCAAAAGAGACCACTGTAATCTTGGGGGGGACGACACAGATTTTTTCTGATATCTTTTATGGGACCAGTTGTATCATTCTGAAAACTATTGGACACCCTTTTGGGTATCAAGGAAGAAGGGCACTTGATGCCTGAAAGCTTGTCTAATAGCTCTCTCAACAATACAGTTGGTTCAGTAAAAGATAACACACACAATCTTCATCTCTTGGACATTTTTTTGGCCCATCACAACTATAGCAACACTCCAAATCTACCATACTACATTTTGATCTTGTTATCTTGACCACCTATTTACCACAGGTCTTAGGCTTTTACTCAGTTGTCTTAAGCTTAACTAGAACTTAATTAGAGCACAACTTTCAAAAAGACCCCTAAACAATCTGAGTGATCATCTTTATATTAAACATTTATATTTTTATTTTCAGTTGGAATTTGTCTGACTGCAAGTTACAGCCACTAAAACTTTTTGTATACTTGCCTGTTACGTTGTGGGGGTCTTTATTTTCGTAAGTTTTCTTCCCATATTGGTACTTAGACCATGATAAGGGCATTTGTTAACTTTCTGTTTAGCTAAATAGGTTAAGCTGTTTTAATCTCTTGGAATAGGACAGGTGAGTGTGCCTTGCATGCATCTCTTGAGAAGGAATGCTGGCCAGTGTAGCTTAAATGGTACAGTCCTCTCATGCAGTCTTCCTACTCTTCGTCTCTCCACTTGTGAACATTTAAGGACACATCCGTACTCTGTCATGTACTTTGAATTGCGGCAATCCAGATGGATGTGAACAAATTTGGATCCTGATTCTTTACTTAGTAAATATAGTGTCTTAGATAAGTCTGGTTGGTAGGTTAGGTTAGGCTAACTTAGTGGTTTAAAGGAAGTTCTTTGTAGTCTAACTTAGGTCTGTATCTGGTTTATTTAGGGATTTGGAGTTGGAGAAACCTGCTTTTAAAATGATACCCATCTTGTCTGGTAGTTCTTTTGGCATTGATGCTCTTTTTATGGGTCTGGATTCCCTGGATGTGGGCTGCTCTGCCTGAATCAAAATTATCCTGTAGGCCTACAAGGAACACCAAAGCAGGTCATGTATCTTATTGCTTCAGGAAGATGTGGCTGCAAAGCCTTTCTGATCCAACATTCACTAATGGATCTAAACGCAGTTTAAAAAAAAGGTGGCTCAAGCTTCATGTGGGTCTAAGATGATGATAATACAGAAAGCATGGGTCTCAGTTTTAGGATCTGGTTCAAAGGTGGCTATGCTTTTGTTTTTCAAGGCGTTGGATCAAACTTTCAAGTGCTGACGGACTCCGTCGGTTTTAACCTGCAAGACAAGAGCCAAACCAGGGGACAGTCATTAAACTTATCTGACTGGTTCTCAAGAAGAGTATCACAGACTGCAAAAGTCTTTCATTGCTAATATGTTGACACAGCTGGAAATCCTGGGGGTCCACTGAAATGGAGCAGAGGCTCATGGATCTTAAACAAAAAGATGAAAAACCAAAAGCAGTACTTTCTCTGTCCCAAGCATTGCACTGCATCTGAAGAAAGCTTGAGAATCATCAGTAGCCCCTTCATTAGTACACTCATCTTCCACTGCCTAGGTGGCTGACCATGCCAGCCATGTTCAGATAATTTCCCAGTATGCTGAAGACTTCATCAGGAGGGCAAAAGGAAGTGGACATTGTCAACTTCTCACATTTTTCCACTGGACACAGGAAGGCAATGTGTGGATTTGTCTCATTGTTCCTTCCACACGGTTGACCACGAGGGTCAAAAACTGACATACTGAGCAGGAAAATATTTTCGCATGATGCAAATGTGGCAAAATACCAGGCAGTGATAGCGTATTAATATAATTTAAAGGACAGGATCTCTTTGATCCTTAGGATGTGCTTTTCTAAACATAGAGTGGCTAATACTTTGGTAACTGTCAGCAGGATGATGGTAAAACACATTCTGTTTCGTATTCAGAAGTAAAGCTGATTGCATCTGCCACTTCAAACATGTTATGCCCCTGAGGCCTTTTATTGTTCCATTTGAAACTAAATCTGAAGTAAATAGTCTGTCCTTTCAGGGGGCTGTACTGTACAGTAACAAGCGTGAAATATTAGAAGTGAAACCTTATGGAAACCATTGGATCTCTGTCTTTTTAAACAAGCCAATATCTGTCTTTAAGTATGATAGACGGGTACCCTCTCACTAGGGACCGATGCTCATGAACAGCAGCAGGAACCCTCCTCTTTGCCAGCTCAGAAGCAGATGTGTTCCTTGCTATATTGAAGATCTGAATAGTCTCCGCTACTTTCTCCCAAATATCAAGTCTTTAATTTTGGCATTAACGTGGAGAGTTTCAAACCAAGCAG